CCACCTAAAACCCTCTGGGGCGGAGCCCTTTTGACGGATCTGCGCCAAACTTCACACAAACCATCCTTGAAAGATGCTTGCCTAAAAGTTTATTACAATCTGTTAAGCGGTTTCGGAGTCCATAACGTATATACATATATACATACATAGTTCCTCTTTTAAAGATATAGATAATTTACATTATTTTTAATTAGTTTTCTCTTAGCTTTTTAGGGGTTTATTTGCCACTATTTTAAAATGAAATTTTTTATTTCTAGACAAAGAGAGAACTTCAAGAAATAGAGCGTACAACCATTTCTTTAAAATTTCTTGTCAAAATTCTGCATCTTTGTCTTGTAAAGAAGTTGTATTTCAAATTTCATTGCGGTCCTTGAAAATTTATTTCAAAGTAAAATTTACAAAAATAGTGCTTACTTTTTTGTAATATTTTGATATTTTGTAAGAGTTAAACATAAAAACCCTTTTATCCTGTAAGGCAGGGGGTTTTGTTGGGTTTCCATTACATTTGGTATTGTATAATTTGTGTTTTTTAGGTTATATTGAAACCTTTTACTAAATCTTGTGTTTTTTACAGGTACTACTTGGAATGGGGGTCATGAGTTGATCATAAAAGGTAATTTTTCAGTACAATTTAACTTGTACTATAACATATCACTAAGTATCCCAGGGATTAGAGTGCTTTAAATACTAGTACTGCAGTACGTTAGTATCTATGAGGGCTATTCAGAAAGTAAGGAACGTTTTGCAATAAAATAACAAGTTTATAAAATAAAATCTTTTTATATACATTTGAAAGAGCAACACATACATATTTTCTGCATAGTTTCCTAACAAATTGATTATGAATAAATGAATTTATTTCCATTGAGTACCTACAAACTTATTACATGCATTGACAGTATTTGGAAATTGACTGGCCGCTTTTCAAGTAGTGCGGCCAGTTAGAACAAATAAATACAATAAATTATAACATATTTTGAGTCTAGCATCATGCATTAAAAACTCTCATGCCACCATTTGGGTATCTGCTAAATACATATATTAAAATACTAGCAGAGTACCCGTCCTTCGTACGGGATTGGCTTATCAGTATGCTTAGTTACCGTACTCAATCTTTGCGTTTGCAATGGGGGAGTATACGATTTGATAAAAGTTGCTTCTTTAAATTTACGGTATACTTTATTATTATAGTATTACACATCTATCATAGCCATAATATTCTAACACTTCCCCTAAACAATATAGAAAAATTAAAAATAAATTGTTAAAAAATCGTAAAATATCACAAATGATTCATGAAATTAAAAACATCAAAGTACTGTAAACAATAAGCACTCTGTGTGGCAAATAAGTAACTGTAAACAATCCTACTTTGATATCATAGTTTTTTGTTGTTGCTTAGTTCAAACTAGATAACACATTGCTCGAAATCAAGCAAAACTGAAACTTGTTGGTAACAAATAAACAAAAAACATAAACAGCAAGATCTTAATCAAAGAGTCACTCTAAAAATAATTTATTGACTGATTATAGAAATATAAAATATTATGATGTAAAAAATATGAAAGTAATAATCTACAATATTTAAATTTACATATACTCTCATACTGCTTTGGTTATCTCTTATTTATAGTAGGCGGCTGCACTCTATGAGCACGTAGATATCAACCACACACTGTAAAGTGAGCTTTTGACTTAATGTAGCTCAATTCCTCTCTTGACACCAACCATCGCTAACTATTATTTTAGCATTGTTAAATTATTTCTTTGATGCGTTCTGTTTTAGGCGTGTTTAAATTAGGGGCCCCAACCCAAGTCTCCGGTTGGGAACATAAGGGGGTAAGCAAGTGGATCTAACGACAGATCTGGATAGAATGGACAGAATGGATACGCGTTTAACATTATTAGTGTTGGAAAAAACTATACGATTTATTTGGCCAGGTGGTGCTTTGTTTTCAGCTTTAAAAATTGCTGCGACATCTATACAGGTAGCATCATTGTAGCGAGGGAAGACACTTCTTCTGTCTCTTATTATGTACATAAGAATCTCACTTGACTCCTCGGAGCTCTCGCCCTACAGAATGTCTGCCCCTGTCTTCAAAGATTTGCAAATGGGTATTGTGACCCTATTTCCCGCATATTTTTTCATTGCATTTTTTGTTTGAATTGTGTTTAATTCTCCTTTGGGTTCTAGTGACACTGTCGTACTTACTTATATATCTGTGCGTATTCAGAATCACACCCTTCTTGAGAAATTAGGACCCACTCGGTGGTTAAACGTGTCACGGATCTTAAAATTGTAGATCCCCTGTGGAACTTTATCATCTTAAATGAGTGTCGGAGCTGACTATGGTAAATGCAGGATTGAATTGACGAACTTTATCCAAATAATTTCTGGATATAAGTCTCACAGTCCTATTTTCAGATTGGGAGTTTCCAATAAGAACCTGAAGGTATGGTGAATTGCACAAATGAGGTAAACGAACTTTTCATTAATGGCAACAAAGAGTAAAAACTTAACTATCTAGGCCAGTCTTTTCTTGCTTAAAAATATGTAAGCCACTACAATGTAAACATTTAACATTCATTTGTCCGAGATTGGACTATCACAACGGTGGTACTACCACTATGTACCCATCAAATGTTCAATTGAGAGGTTGATGCAAACTGTCATGTTCGCGTTCCCTCCAGCCACTCACAGTTCTTCGTCGTACTGGCGGCATTTGATTTTAGATTGAAATGAAATAAGGAATTTAACCAAACAACAGAAAACGCTATAAAGGAATTGGAATTTTTATACACATTGTAAATTACATGATGCGAATAACTTCATCACATCGAACTGTAACTACATGATAATCAGTAAAATACGATGTAAGGTAAATCAATTTAACCATAGACAAAAAGAATTAAATATTTATTAAATATTTATTCTTAAACTCTTCATTATATGAACCAGACTTAGTTAACAAATTGAAACAAAATATAAATTCCAGGTTTGCTCTGGAAGTTTTAAGTCCTCGAGTCTGTGGTTAACCTTAAAAACTATTCCAAACTACTGTACGTCCATATGTTATTTGTAAACAAAGGGAAATGAGTTTGATCAAATGTCAACAGATAGCACCACCTTCCAAACTTTAGCCCTTAAGTGTACTTAAGTGGTGCCCTTTCTTAATATTCTGAGTCGTATTTGCACATCTACGTGAAAATACCTTTAATTTGACACCTAAACGTTAAAATCCGTCAAGCCGTTATCGAGTTATGACTGTGAAAAGATAACTGCTTGCGTATTAATATATAAACTAGATAACCTGTTGCTTGAAATCAAGCAAAACTGAAACTTGTATAAAAAAATAAACAAAAAAAAAACATAAACAGCAAGACCTTAATCAAAGAGTCACTCTAAAATAATTTATATGACTGATTATAGAAATAAACAAATATTATGATGTAAAAAAATATAAAATCAATCTACAATATTTAAATTTACATTCACTCTCATACTGCTTTGGTTATCTCTTATGTATAGTAGGTGGGTGCACTCTATGAGCACGTAGATGTCAACCACATACTGTAAAGTGAGCTTTTGACTTAATGTAGCTCAATTCCTCTCTTGACGCCAACCATTGCTACTCTTATTCTAGCATTGTTAAATTATTTCTTTGATGTGTTCTGTTTTAGGCGTATTTAAATTAGGGGCCCCAACCCAAGTCCCCGGTTGGGAACATAAGAGGGTAAGCAAGTGGATCTAACGACAGATCTATAATGGATACGTGTTTAACATTATTAGTGTTTTAAAAAACTATACGATTTATTTGGCCAGGTGGTGCTTTGTTTTCAGCTTTAAAAATTGCTGCGAAATCTACACAGGTAGCACCATTGTAGCGAGGGAGGACACTTATTTTGTCTCTTATTATGTACATAAGAATCTCACTTGACTCCTCGGAGCTCTTGTCCCTACATAATGTCTGCCACAGTCTTCAAAGATTTGCAAATGGGTTGGCATTGTAACCCTATTTCCCGCATATTTTTTCATTGCATTTTTTTTTTTTTTATTGTGCTTAGTTCACCTTTGGGTTCTAGTGACATTGTCTTACTCACTATATCTGTGCGTATTCAGGCTCATCACCTTCTTGAGGAATTAGATGAGGACCCACTCGGTGGTAAAACGTGTCACGGATCTTAAAATTGTAGATCCCCTGTGGAACTTTCTCATCTTAATGAGCTTTGGAGCTGACCATGGTAAAGGCAGAACTGAATTGACGAACTTTATCCAAATAATTTCTGGTTATAAGTCTCACAGTCCTATTTTCAGATTGGGAGTTTCCAATAAGAACCCGAAGTTTATTGTGGTGAATTGCACGAATGAGGTGTAAACGAACCTTTCATTTATGGCAACAAAGAGTACAAACTTAACCTTCTCGGTCAGTCTTTTCTTGCTTAAAAATATGTAAGCCACTACAATGTAAACATTTAACGTTCATTTGTCCGAGATTGGACTATCACAACGGTAATACTACCACTATGTACCCATCAAATGTTAAATTATTGGAATTTTGATACAAATTGTAAATTACATGATAATATGGTTGTAATAATCTATGCCTGTCTTCTTTCTTATTTAACTAACATATGTTTTATTAATTATTATGATTTTGTAAACAGTCCAAATAAATACACATTTTTGGTCAAGTCTATCATTTTTGTCTTGTCTGTCTATAATATTTTTAACATTGGTGCCAAAACCCGACTTATAAATCATGTCAAGAAATATGTCAATTCGAAAGTCAGGGAGAGAGAAACACCCTCCAAATAGATATTCCCCTGAAATGGTAAATGATAAGAATGATGAACCCATGGAAAGAGATAGTCAACCTCCAAAACCCCCTACTAAGACAAAAATCACATCTTCAACATCCAGCAAGCGCCGGTTACATCAACTGCAACTAGAAGAAATAGAAGAAATTAACAAACTAGAAAAAATGCAGGAAGAAAAATAAATGCAGCGCCAAAGAGAATTCGAGGCTAAAGAAAAAGAAAGAGAGGAGAGGGAAATGGAACGACAACGTCAAGCTGAAGCAAGAGAACTAGAACGTCAGAAGCGTCTGCTGAGAGTAAGGACCGAACTTGAGTCTGCTTCAGTCTTGGGAAGTAGGCCTAGTCAGTCCGCCTCAGTCTTGGGCAGTCGTCATTTGGAATTGGAAGATAATGAAGACCCTGACAAGGTAAGCTTCAATATTGCTACTGTTGAGGAGGAAATCTGTCTAATGTCAAAGTCAATAGGTGGCTAAATGAGGAACCGTCAGTTCCTTTGACATCGTCAGCCATCGTGTCCACGGCTATTGATAAACTAGCAGACTCCTTTTCAAAAGCTATCAATTTATCTAACCCCAACCAACCTGTCTCTTGCCGACAGCGTCTTCCATCCTTCAGCGGGAAACCTGACGAATGGCCCATGTTCTATTCTTGTTACAATAAGACTAAACACCTTTTTAATGACGATGAAAACCTTGACAGAATAAGAAATTGTCTGGAGGGAGATGCCTTTAAAATGGTAAAACCTCTATTTATATCATGTAAAAATTTGAGTACAGTAGTCTAATGAAAACATTACAAATGCGTTTTGGACGTCCAGAGTTTATAGTCGAGTCAATGTTGAAGAAGGCGCGCATGCTCCAACCAGTCAAGGAGGATGACGCTGTCAGCCTTATTGAGTTTTCAACAACTCTTTTAAACCTGACCTCTACCGCAGAGTCGTTGGATTTGGAAATGTACTTAATAAATCCTCTCTTGTTGAATGAACTTTTAAGTAAGCTCCCCTATACTCTGAAGTACAGGTGGGCTGAAAATGTAAATAGCATGCATTTAGATACACCTACTGACCTGAAAGTATTCTGTAACTGGCTTGAAAACCAGTGTTCCATTATGAGTATTTATTTTCGTCCACCTGAGGAGACAACGCGGAAGAGAAGTGACCCTAAACCAGTTTTGACTAATTCACCCTATTAAAACGTTTGCATGTTTTGCTCGGAGAGTCATGAAACTGATAAATGTAAGCTTTTCAGAAAAGCAGAAGTCTCGCAATGGTGGAAGATGATAATTGAGAAAAAACTGTGTTTCTTCTGCTTCCGTCGTCACCACATCAAATTTTGTAAGTTAAAGAAACCTTGTGGAATCAATGGGTGCAAACTATACCACCATCACCTTCTGCATACTGACAGTGCCCCTAAAAATGCCCAAGAAATCAGCCGGGATCGAGTACAGAACACTTTCAGACAGGAAGGTAAATCGAAAGAAGAAATTATAAGCAATCACTCGGTAAATAACCGTGTTTTACTAAGAACGTGTCCAGTAACGTTATATGGTCCAAGCTGTCAGATCGACACATATGCACTTTTAGATGACGGTTCAACCATATCTCTGCTAGATTCGACTACTGCCGATAAATTAGGCATCAGTGGTAGCATTGAACCCCTTACCACTTGTTGGTCAAATGCAACTAAACATTTTGACCCAACGTCCAGACGAGTTGAACTTAAAATAAAAGGGCTCTATGAAGATGAAGTTTTCACATTAAATAATGTAAGAACTCAATCACCTCTAGATTTACCCCAACAGTCGATTGACTCAGTAAAGCTTCGTGAGAGATTGCCTCATTTAAAGTCAATCGATCAACCTTTACCAACATCTCATGCCAAACCTACCATTTTGATAGGTCAAGATAACTGTGACTTGTTATTGACCAGAAAAGTTATCGAAGGTCCGCCAAATGCTCCCGTACTGTCATGGAGCTACCTAGGGTGGTCAATGCATGGCAAGTGTCCAGAATTTGCTGGACGTGTTGACGATTTCACCTTATTGTCCTTTGATCACGACAGATTACATGATTTGGTGAAAAGTTCCTTTGAAATTGACAACTACGGTGCATCTCCAGTAGAAAACAAATCAATAAAATCGGTAGAAGACGAACGTGCAATGTCAATCTTGGAAAAAACAACGAGGAAAATCGGAGAACGTTATGAATCTGGCTTGTTGTGGAAATCAGATGATTTTAAATATCCCTCGAGTTACGATAAAGCTCTGAAAAGACTAAAACACATTGAAGGGAAGATGGCAAAGGATCCTTCCTTTAAAGACGAATACACAAGGAAGATTGCCGACTACAAGGAAAAAGGGTATATTCGAAAACTAAGTGAAGATGAGGAAGTATTTTAAATGATCATACTTATTATCTACCTCATTTCGGAATTGTAAACCCCAATAAGCCCAACAAATTAAGATTGGTCTTTGACGCAGCTGCAAAGTCAAACGGTGTATCATTTAATGACGCTCTTCTTAGTGGACCTGACCTTTTGAATCCATTACCAGCTGTTCTTGTAAAATTTCGTCTGGAAAAATTTGCCGTCGCTGGTGATATTAAGGAAATGTTCCATCAGGTACGCATAAGGAAAGAAGATGTAGATTCACAGAGATTTTTGTGGAGGCAAAACACGAATGATCCTCCAGATTCGTATGTAATGGAGGTGATGACATTTGGGTCGACCTGTTCTCCAAGCACTGCTTTATATGTAGTGAACGAAAATGCCAAAAGTTTCTCATCCATCTACCCTGAAGCTTCTAAATCAATTCTTACTAAGGAATACATGGATGATTTATTAGACTCTGTCAATTCTGAGGAAGAAGCAAAGACTCGAGTGAAAGAAATAATGGAAATTCACAAATCAGGTGGATTTCAAATTTGCAATTGGCTATCAAATTCCAAAGATGTTTTGTCTGGAATTCCTGAAGAACTGAAATCAAATTCAACTAAGCAATTAAAGCATGATAGCAATCTTCCCACTGAACAAGTTCTCGGAATGTGGTGGGATTCAGAAAGCGACAATTTCGTATTTCATCTCAATGCAGAAAAGTTGCAAAAAATGGAATCAAGTTATCCAACTAAACGTGAGGTTTTGAAGGCTGCGATGTCTATCTTCGATCCTTTGGGACTAGTCACCCCTACTACAATCAAAGGTCGAATATTAGTGCAAGAGATTTGGAGAACAAAAACAACATGGGATGAAGTACTAACAACAGGACTTACTAAGAAATGGCAAGAATGGTTGGAAGAAGTTAAACAACTACAATATTTTACCATTCCGAGATGCTATTTCAAAACCCTTATGATAAATTAGGTTGAGCTCCATGTCTTTGTCGATGCAAGTGAAGAAGCGTACTCCGCTGTTGGATATCTAAGACATAAGAATACTAACGAGAATACTGGATACAACACTATGTTGGTTATGTCGAGGGCAAAGGTGGCCCCTCTAAAACCAACTACCATACCAAGACTGGAACTACAAGCTGCTGTCCTTGGATGTAGGCTTGTTAAAACAATTATACACAACCTAGACATCAACATCGTCCGAAAAATATTTTGGACAGATTCTGTTACGGTGTTACATTGGATAAAATCTGATCCGAGAAGCTTTAAACAATTTGTTTCTAACCGACTTGTGGAAATCCTTGAAGTTTCACAAGCTGATGAATGGAAGTGGGTACCATCAAAATATAACCCTGCTGTAGTCGCTCAGAGGAACCTATGATGCTACAATTGTGTCTTGAAGAGCCAATGGCGGTGGTGCTAGGAGACAGCGTGGAGGACATATCCACCTTGTCATCTGTGGAAATCTCCAGAGACGAGACTGTGAGGAGAATTAACGATGGCAAGCAAACAAACGAGTGTGCTCAGTGTGGCTGCAAGTTCCCATGCCTGATGCCCTTGTTTAAACACAACTGAAGTCGTTCAGATGAACCTACGATGCCACAATGGTGTCTTGAAGAGCAGATGGCGGAGTTGCTAAGAGACAGCGTGGAGGACAATCCCAACCTGTCACTTATGAAAATATCCAGAGACCACACTGTGAGGAGAATGTCACTTTGAGAGCTTTGACATCTCACAGTACCACAACAAGTCCAGCAGTGATAACCAGAGGAATTAGAAGTATTCTGAAATATTCAAAGAAATCAAACAACAAAGGAGAAAATGTATGCTCAAAGTGAAAATCACTAAAGAACTAGTGAGTGCCAAAGTTAGCCTTCGCAAGCCTCGGCCAAAAATGACTATTGCTCCAAAAAAAAAACTAATGAAAAGGTAAAAGAAACTAACTTTCAAATGGTTAGTTCTTGGGGGGAGAGAATGTAATAATCTATGCCTGTCTTCTTTCTTATTTAACTAATAGTCCAGTGCAATTAGACAAAAAATGACCTTGACCCGGACAAAATTGATAACAGGCTGAAAATTGGTGGAAACGTTCATAACAATGTCCTGAGTGGCCCACACAAAGTCCCAAGAAATCCCAGTTGGGGAACGGCCGCCATCTTGAAAAAACTTCCGCCATCTTGGAAATTTAGATTTTTTGCAGTATCTTTTGAAGTAATTGTCCCAAAGACATTATTTATGTCCCAAATTAAGCGTTTTGAACTCATGTATGAGGGTAATATATAATTAAAGAGTTTAATACGTTCTAAGCATAAATATTATTTATATTATTAACCTAAAAATATATCTATAATAATTATATAAATTTACAAATTAAAGCTTTTTCTCTTTTGTTCTTAATAGACTTCTTAAAGCCATTAACCCTTTCGAAATTTCTTGCAACCTACTATGCTTAGTCTTTGGAATTGGTTAAATACGGGGAGAATAACAAGTCAAGACCACCCCCTCTAATATTTTTCTTATTAAATATACAGAAATATCCTTTTGGTGGTCTTGCAATCTTAGTAGGAAGTTTCATTTAATAATTTTGAAATTTTTGAGTGTCCCTCAAAAGGGGGAATTTCGGAGGTAACTCAAAAATATTAAAGTAAATCCTATTCAAGTGACACCTCATCTTGAAGTGTTTACAAAAACTTAAAGAATGGTGAAAACCAGAATTTGCTATCTCTTCTCTATCTAAAATGGTAGCCCGTCAAAAGTTTAATGACTATGACATTACTATTACATTAATTTTCTTGTGCAATAAAAATTAATTTCCCTCCCTCTAATTTGTTCCTAAGTAAATATTACAGAGTAATCCTTTTGGTGGTCATGCAACCTTAGCAGGAAGTTTCATTTTATGATTTTAAAATCTTTGAGTATTCTCCTCTGTCCAAAATGGTAGCCATTACAATTACGAACCAATATTACTACTGATTTTCCATAATGTTTGACGGGCTACCATTTTGGTTAAAGATGAAATAGCAAACCCTCCATGCATCAATACATCCATGCATCGTGGTGCAATTAAGACCATAAGGGTTGTTGTACTGTTTCCATGAATCCATTCCAACCTGGACTTGGTTTGTTACTCAGTTGGTAGTTAATGAGCCATAGGGTGTCAGCAAGACAAGCATCTACAACTATTTTTGGTTTGGAAAGGGATATACTGACAACTCCCAACACTACGAAAGATGTCCCAGGCTTAGGCAGACGTTGGTAAGGTGTCAATGGCTGAAAGCCATGAGATAGAAGGACACTTTTTGCTTTTGGGATTGTAGATCGTGGTACAGGAGCATTTGCATTGACACATTTCGACTGGTGATATCCACCAATGGCGTGAAGAGTTCCATGTCCATCAAGTGTTTTAAAGTTGTAATCCGCGTTGTTGAAAACATACTGAACGTAAGTTCCGTAATTTATTGAAGGTAAGACATTATCAGCTATCGAAGTCTCATAATTGACGACCTTCTTGTATGTCGAGCAAACTCCAAGCTACGATAGAATGTCTAACGGCAACTTCGAGCCATACCGTCTGTGAAGCTCGAGCAGCAGGGGCAATATGAAAATCGTGGTCTATAGCTGCAGCAATATTACCTATTGCATGAGCTATATTAGTTGTCTCCTCTTTAAAGCTTTATCATCGTTAATTGGATATTATATTTATATTTAACCAATTCCAAAGACTAAGCATTGTGGGGTGCAAGAAATTGCAATAGGGTTAATGGCTTAAACAAGTCCATTACGAAAAAAATAGAAAAAGCTTATTTTGTATATTTATATTAATTATTTAAGATGGAAACGCCCCTATGAGCGTATTTTACCCAAACATGAGTGAAGGATGAGTAGGATGAGTGGCGCGATCTTGTGGTCTTGTTAGTGACTAAGGCCGACATGTTCCTTAGACACAGATGTTAATTAATATCCCATACAGCAAATGGCAATTAAGGGACCTACAGTTTATAGTGGAATCCGAACCACATTTTTTCCTTGTAATTAACGAATTGGTCTAATTATTAGGATAGTACTGCGGATAGTCGTAGTACTCACTAGTGCGGACGTTAATCCACACCAGGGAGCATCGCATCTACCGTGCATGACTATAAATATCCACAATTCGTATAAAAGGGGGGACATAACCGTATCTATATCATTATTATAGATATTTTTTAGGTTAATATAAATAAAATGAATGCTTAGAACATAATAAACTCTTTAATTATATATTATCCTCATACATAAGTCCAAAACGTTTAATTTGAGACATAAATAAGGTCTTTCGGACATTTACTTCAAAAGATATAGCAAGAAATCTAAATTTCCAAGATGGCGGAAGTTTTTTCAAGATGGCGGCCGTTCCCCAACTGGGATTTCTTGGGACTTTGTGTGGGCCACTTAGGACATTGTTTTGAACATTTCCACCAATTTTCAGCCTGTTATCAATTTTGTCTGGGTCATAACCTAATTGCACTGGACTATAAAATATGTTTTATTAATTATTATGATTTTGTAAACAGTCCAAATAAATACTCATTTTTGGTCAAGTCTATCATTTTTGTCTTGTCTGTCTATAATATTTTTAACAATGGTAATGAAGAGGTCACGGAGAGGTTACGGATAACTGCCCTGTGAATAATCACTTTTAAACATTCACTTCATCACATCGAACTGTAACTACGATAATCAGTAAAATATGATGTAAGGTGTAAATCAATTTAACCATAGACAAAAAGAATTAAATATTTATTCTTAAACACTTTGTTGTCTAGTATTGATAGGAAACTCTTCATTATGAACCAGACTTAGTTAACAGATTGAAACAAAATATAAATTCCAGCTTTGCTCTGGAAGTTTTAAGTCCTGCAATTTGTGGTTAAAATTAAAAACTATTTCAAACTACGTCCATATATGTTATTTGTAAATAAAGGGAAATGAGTTTGATCAAATGTCAACAGATATAGCCTTCCAAACTTTAGCCCTTAAGTGTACTTAAGTGGTGCCCTTTCTAAGACGTATATTCTGAGACGTATTTGCACATCTACGTGAAAATACCTTTAATTTGACACCTCAAACTTTAAAATCCATCAAGCCGTTATTGAGTTATGACTGTGAAAAGAAAACTGCTTGCGTATTAATATATAGATTAGCTGTTTTTACAAATGCAAAACAAGTAATAGTGCTGCACCCTGTTGGTAAATCTGATCACTTTTAATGCTTTTGCATACCATAGAACCAACTTTTTAAGTTGAAACAGCTGACTAAATTCTTTTATTCCCTTCAAATATGAATACTCATAGGGTTAACATGGGGAACCACAGAGCCAATGAGGTGGAGCCCGAAAGGATTTTTTAGATAAGAATATTCACCATTTCCCATGTCGTGGACATGTTTCCATCCCTTCTCATAGCATTTCAGTATTGCAGATACATTATTCTAACTGCTACAAACTGTTTTAAGTTCCCACACTCCACACTGCTCGACTTTTCTACTTACTACCACCCCTTCCTAAGTCGTGGACCTGTTTCCCTCCCATCCCATAGTATTTTAGGATTGCAGATACCTTAATATAATCGTTATAAACGGTTCCCACACTCCAGATAGCTCACCTTGACTACTTCCTTCACAACTTCCTAAGTCTTGGACCTGTTTTCCTCCCTTCCCATAGCATTTTAGGATTGCAGATAACTTAATGTAATCGTCATAAACAGTTCCTACACTCCGTACTGCTCGCATTTACTACTTCATTCACCACTTCCTACGTCGCGGACCTGTTTCCCTCTCTTCCCATAGCATTTTTGGATTGCAGATACCATAATCTAATTTACATAAACAGTTCCCACACTCCGGACTGCTCGCCTTTACGACTTCCTTCATCACTTCCTACGTCGCGGACCTGTTTCCTTCCCTTCCCATAGCAATACCTTAATATAATCGTCATAAACAGTTCCCACACTCCAGACTGCTCGCATTTACTATTTCCTTCACCACTTCCTACGTCGCGGACCTATTTCCCTCCCTTCCCATTGCATTTTAGGAATGCAGATACCCTAATCTAATCGTCATAAACAGTTCCCACACTCCGGACTGCTCGCCTTTACTACTTCCTTCACCACTTCCTAGGTTGCGGACCTGTTTCCCTCCCTTCCCATAGCATTTTTGGATTGCAGATACCGTAATCTAATCGTCATAAACAGTTCCCACACTCCAGACTGCTCGCCTTTACTACTTCCTTCACCACTTGCTAGTATACTGTGGATAGACAACTTACAAGTCTTTTGTTTACTTTTTCCCTGTTATTTAATTCAGCCAAGATGGTTACTTAGCAACCCATAAGACTAATGTTAAAAAATGTGACTTTCAGATTCATTTTTCTACGTAATTAGATTTTTGTTGGCAGTTCTAACTGCAGTAAACTCGTTTTTAGGCCAGGAATAAACTATTGACAACATTTGAAGAAAATCGTCGGAGCCGTTTTTGAGATCTTTGTGCAAGCAAGCAAGCATAATACATACTTACATACAAGCAAACATTTCTCATAT